AATCACTATAAAGGGCTGGCAGCGATAATTGTTTTAGTGGGTCGCTTTTTTCGGTTTAAGCAATGCATGTATAAGAAAATAGGGTCAAATATATACACGTCGTTGTTGAGCAAAAAGATAGTCTGGTCAGTTTCAATGAGAGGTTTATTCCACAATATTTGGAGACGTGGGATGACCAGCCTGCACAAAATTTCTTTCATATTAGGAAAGGCCGGCTCCTTAATTTTTTTTGTACCTAACCCATTTTCGTTAGGCCCTCTCTCTCTCTCTCTCTCTCTCTCTCTCTCTCTCTCTAATTGTGCATATAAATATATGACTTCACAAACCCAATTCAATATGCATGCAATCTACAACATCCTTAACTTCACTCAAAACTCTTTATAGTTTCCTTTTTTTTTTTGGATAGTCATCTTATTTCCTAAAGTACACTAGAATTTTATCTCTTATATTATTATGGCTCGCTCATGCTTCATAATATTGCTTATCATCCTCATTGCTTTAGTAAGTAACAAAATGCCGTCTTCTCAAGCTAGTAGGGTTTTGAGGACTGAACATGTGAAGGACGGCACTTTAGTTGGATTGGAAAATACTGTTCCTAAAGATTACAATTCAGTTTCAGCTACACTTGCTGTTCAGCTAGGTCATGCAGTCGCAACTAACGACAAACGCTTGATTAATCTCGCCAAGACTGGTCAGGAAATTTTGAGGTCTGTCCCAAGTCCTGGAACCGGCAACTAATAGCCACAGGTTGTCTTCATACAAGTCTTCTATCTTGGGGAATCATATACGCAGTGAATTATGAAGAATATATACAGCTTGTTATATATCATCTACATATATATATATATATACACACATATAGTGATATTGTGAGAAGTGTATCTGCATATGCATATGACGCTTCTTGTTGCACCGAATAAACAAATTTGCATATGCATATACATTGTGCTAAGCCAGTAACTAGATTATCAGAGGGAAGACTTGTTAAAGAGATTGTAATATGTTTTGATCAAGATCACAAGTTGTTTGAGTATTAAAACATAAACAAATTGTGTTAAAGGAACTTCAAAAGCGCTGCAGCGGGTTTATAAACACTGCAGCATACAAACTGCACAAAACTGTGTAGTTTTGTTCGGCCAATATTTCGGCTGCAGCCGAAAGTTTGTGCTGTAGCCGAAATGTTTGCGCTATAGCGGAAAACGTCGCGCTGCAGCACCCTTTTTCAGGCCTCTCATGTCCGTTTGCGCACTGCAGTGGAAATTCTGTAGAAAAATAGTGTTTTCATGAGGTTATCATCTGAAACGTCTCGAATCATTACATCTATTGGTGATATGTTTTCATACATATCTATATACCAATTAGCAATAGATATAACTATTATAATAGGTGTACTAATCTGTGAAAAGATACATTTACATTGAAAATGTACCTTTATGTGAATGGTTGTAATGTTTAAAGATAATACATTCATTCATGAAATTACACATCTGTTTTTATTAATTCTCTAGAAAATTTACAGACTTAATTGAATGTTCTGAAACTCAATATTATTGCTAGATATTGTGTTTAAGAATTTGTTGTATCTTGGAGGTAATTTGCCATTAAAACTCATTAACAAACTTTGCGAAATGAGGGCAAATAAAACCTTAAAGAAAAGTATTCTTATATACCTTAAACTCTCTCTTATTTTCAGCATTTTTTTCACCCTCTACACTCAAATTCTCTAATACGACTCATTTAATTTCCACAATAAGGGTTCACCATATCTAATGTTTGATCAAATTTTTTTACTTCATTTTTCCACAACAAGGGTATTTTGGTCGTTTAAAAAATTTTATGGGGTGATATATAACTCAAAGGGAAGGTTCAATTTTAACGCATGCGATTTGTTAAACATAAAGGATTAATATGGCATTCCAAACATAGCATAGAACACAATATTTCAATAAAACACGGAGAAAGTTTTTGTCTTTATGCCAAAAAAAATTTAGTGCATTAATTAATAGTAAATTTGCTGCTTATGTCGGTGTAAAATTATATAATTTGATTGTTTTTTTTAGGAATAATTTCTTTTAACTTCTAAATCAATTAATTTATTATTTAATTGGTTAATCGTTTAGATATTTGCTTAAGAGATCTAAGATAATCCTGTTTAAACCTCTAAACATTGCAATACACACTTTCACAGCTTTATCACCGTCGACCCCATTAAAATGCCATTTTCGTCCTTCTCTAGCTGATCTCACGTGCAACAATTCCACCTATCTATTCAAAAAAAAAAAAAAAAAAAGAAAGAAAGAAAAAAAATTCCACATACATTTTTAACTACACATGTAATGGATGGGGTCAATTGAGAGTTGACATTGCACGATTGATACAACTTTTTATTACTTTTCAGGCGTCAACATAAAGTGATAATGAACCTAAAATCCAGAGGGCCAAAATGGACTAATTTTCTTATATAAATACTACTGAACATAAAACAACGTGAAAATCACAAGATAACCGGACTTTTATTGTACATTATTCAATATTGCGTGGAACATAATTAAATTAGGCACTTGGCTTTGCGTTGTTTATACCTCTTTCTCTCTTTCTCTATCTCTCTCTTTTAGGATTATTAGTACGGTTAATCCTTAAATTATGTATATTCTATCATTTTAGTCTCTGAACTTTAGTTTTGACAAATTACTCTTTTAACTTTTGATTTTTGACCACTTTGATCCCTACATATTAAAATTGATGGTGGGCTTTTGAAATTTAACATAGGTCACCATGTCTCCAGATGAATAATAACTAAAATTTTCACAAAAATGATTACAGTTAAATGCTAAATATTCTCTGGACTGTTATTATGAATAATTAAAAAGTAGAGAAATTTGCATTCAACATAACTACTTCTGTAGAAATTTCAGCTATTATGCGTCTGCAACGTGATTATCTCCAAGAATTTTAAAAGTCATTTGACAATTTTCGTAAATAGGGCCAAAATGGTTAAATTAAAAATTTAAAGAATAATTTATCAAAGTAAAAAAATTCAGAGACTAAAGTGACATAATTCATGCTACTAGCTAGCCACGTAGTTTTCAGTCAGAAAACTGATAATAATATAGGATGTGGGAAGAGGACACCATATATAACCTACTAGCTACCTAGTCATTATATAATATATGTGTGTAATACATGCAGAAGTAGCACTCATATCAAAGTTCATATTTCATTTTACAAAAAGTCCCACAAAAAAAATAATTATATAGACTTAATTACGTAATTAAATTTTATTATATAAAAATTAATGTATGTTTTTTTTCCCTTCACACACCTCACACGTCATATTTTTAAATTTTAAACTATTTTTATTTTGAAATCTATAATATCTTTCAATTAAGGACTATTTCAAAAAGTTGTGTGGAGGTATATTAAGTTTTCTTCACTATTTATTGTATGAGGATTGTTCTTTTGTTTTTGCTCTTTTCGCTTTGATATTTTTTCGCTGATCTTTTCCATTTTTTAAAGGCTAATCGTTTGATTTCTTTTTCATTTTTTATAAAGCTCAATTGATTGGTGTTCTTTCGGTTCGTTTTTTTTTTTTTTTTTTTTTTTTTTTTTTTTTTTTTTTTTTTTTTTTTTTTGCACTTATGCTCATATGTTGTTTCACTATTTGCATTTTCTTTTTATATTTTGTGTTGTACTTTGATCACTCAATTGCTGTGATAATTTTGTTTCATTTTTATATTAAGTTTTTTTTTTTTTTTAGTTGTTTTGCTTTCTTTTCTTTTAATTGTTTACTTTGCCATTTTCATTATTTTTTAATGTCAGTTGGTCACTGTCTTCATATTACCAAAAAGATTACACAAATGAATTTATATTACTTCTCACGTAAGAAAAAATTTCTCAAAATATGATTTTTTTAAGAGACTCACGATATGAATTATAAATTACCTTACGCTTTTCACTAAGTTCTTTTTAAATATATATATATATATATATATTCAAGAGTAGTTATGCTTTAATTTAGTGATTCGTGATGTTGGAAGGAGGAAGGAATATTTAGTTATTGTTATTAAGACTCTTGACGGGAAGTTATCGTGGAAGAGACCCAAGAATTATATTTGGTTGTGAAAGAGGTGGAACATATATTATAGAAATAATGGGTAATATTAAAATAGCAAATTAAAATGAAAGAGTATATGTGTGAAAAGAAAATTGAAGTTAAGAGTTAAAGTATAAAACTATTGTTAGCCCATCTCCTAACAGCTTAAGCTTTTGGGATGGATTGGTAAACTAACATGGTATCAGAGCGGGAGGTCCTGAGTTCAAACCCCTGTAATTGCACTCTTTATCCCTATTTAAAAATTGTCATGTGTTGGGTCTTTTATATATCTCGGGCTTAAATATTCAGGTGTTGGGCTTTCTAATTAATTTACCCACACGATTACCCATTGTCCAGCCCACACGTGAGGGGGAGTGTTAAAGTATAAAACTATTGTTAGCCCACCTCCTAACAGTTTAAGCTTTTGGGATGGATTGGTAAACTAACAAAGAATTAATAATTTTATGAAAATAGTTTCGGGTAATTTTAGAATATTAGAGGTGAGTAGAAAGAAATTTAAAAATCAACGAGTAGCAGTAGTATATAAAGTTTACAAATTGAAGCATGTAATTATAAGCAATAACGAGCTAATTATTGATTCATAAGCTTGCTTAGAAGATAGAACCTACCATATATAGCAATAATAAATTAATAAAGGTAGAAAGAAAAACGCATGCGTGCGCATGATTCTCAAACAGAAACTATATATATATATATTCCTTTAGAAAAATCGGATAAAGTCGTATATATATCGTGCAAAATTAGCCACATTACAAAGAGTTTCAATCCTCTAGAAAAATCGGATAAAGTCGTATATATATCGTGCAAAGTTAGCCACATTACAAAGAGTTTCAATCCTCTACAAGCCTATATATATATATATATAAAACTATCATTGTCGCAAAAACTAGCTGTCGACGGCAACGATCTGAGAAACTATCACAGTGATATCATCAATCTTGCCTCCTCTGCGGTTCTTCCCAGCCAGTTTTGCATTTCTAGAGAAAGGACTCTCTCTGAACCTGTCGAACGAGTTATACAAAGCCAGTTCTGCAATATAACACGCCAAGTTTTTCGGTACAATCCCTCCCTTCTTCCTTGACTCTCTCTCTAAAACTTCCTCGGCTTCACTCGCGAACACGTTATCGAAAAAACCATCAGTTCCAAGAATTATAACATCTCCTTCCATTACTTCGACCTTTATCTCGATGGCACACTCTGGTTTGTCACTGTTCTTGTTATTCCCCAGCTGGTATGGGCAATTGAAGCCCCGCTGCTGACACGGCGATCTGTATACGAGCTTGTTCTTCCTGAACAGCATGAAACCGCTGTCTCCGACGTTCGCAGCGCGTAGAACGCCGTCTTTGTGGGTGATGATGCAGGCCGTGCAAGAACCTTTGCTTTCCGTGACGGAGAATGCGTCGTGCAAAACCCTTTTTGGATCAACTCCTGCTGTAGGGACGGAGTCAGAAAATAAATACGGAGAATGCGTCGTGCAAAACCCTTTTTGGATCAACTCCTGCTGTAGGCCGTGCAAAACCCTTTCCGTGATGATGCAGGGGTGGGAAGGTACATTAAAATTCTTATCAAATTTCACATATATTTAAGTAACAATATTTTACTATATTAAAATTCTTATCAGATTTCACACATATATGAATAATGTTAGGACATCAATTTAAATGTTAATTTTTGTATAAAAACTAATGTGAATTGTCATTTTTATAATAATATGTGTTTAAAATATTACCACATCAATTAATAATAAGAAATTATATCAAAAATATGATAACTTATATGCGACATGAGTTGATATACAAAAATTAAAATTTGAGTTGGTGTACTTAGCATTACTTAAGTAATAATATTTTACATTCCTTTTCTTTTAATGTTTTGGTTTTTTTTTTTTTCCACTTAAACATATTATAAAGTGGTGAAAATATGTAACTTTACAATTTTAGAGGGGTAAAATTATAAATTTCCTTAGATTTTACGCACAAAATTTAAATGAAAAAAAAAATTTCAGGTGGGGTGTTTGCCTAACCTTCGACTTTACGTGGCTCCTTTTCTTTGGGATTTTTGTGAAGAGCGAAGAATGAGTTCATCATGAGTTCTCGGGCGTATTCACCAGCGTCAATACTGCGTTCAGCCCAGCCGCCAACGCCGTCCGCGACGCCGATTGTCTGCTCCTCCATGCAAGCGAAGTGGGCGTCCTCTCCCTCAGGCTTGCTCTTGTTTTCTTTCGGCAAATAGTATGGCGCACAAACCATCTTCAAACGATCTTTAACTCGACGTATCTTCATGTTTCCAGATAACAACTCTCGACTAAGAATTTTGACTAGTGAATATGCAAACGTTGCTTAGGTCTGATGATATATATAGGCAATCATCTTATATATTAGTACAAGTTTGACTAATTCGTGTTCGATTGGATAATACTTTATTAGTCTCGAAAACAAAACTTATTAGAAGTTGGAATCCTAACAGACTTCGATCTGCAGGAAGGGGCACAATAATATTTTTAAGATATTAATTAAAAAGACAAAAAAAAAAAAAAAATCCGTTAACAATTATATTTGAAGAAAGAAAAAGAAAATAGTTTATGTATTGAAAGTTAATAACCTTCTTCATCGACACCTCGGCCCTAAACTTCTACATTAAGAAAATTGTACCAAATCAAAGCAAAAAATAATAAAAAAAAGTACAAATTTACATTAAGAGAAATAATTGAAAATTTCAATTAAAATCTCCATTATCATTAATCAAAATTTTAAAAATTATACATATATATATATATATAAATTTGTTGGCAATTTCTTTCTTTTGAATTAAATTTATTTGCATTTTGCAATATCAGACTGCACATTAAATTAAAAGCTGATTAGCTTATCTAGTGATGTTTAGAAGGTAAGAAATTCTTCTTCACGCTGGGAACTATAGTCTGGCCAATTTTCAAAAGGGAATTTGGACTTGTATCTAGGACTACTATATATTGGCATCGAATTGCTTAATTTGTAGTTATTAAAAGTCTATAACCTGACTTAATGGTTTTCTTAATGTTATAATGATCTTATCATATGCTTTTCAGGAATTTCAATATCTTTGTTTGGTTCAAGTGCAATATCGGTGGATAAATTTTGCTCCTTCATAACCCACATTTCAAGACTCCTAAAAGTTTTTTTTTTTTTTTATCAAAATTTGATTTTTGTAACATCGACAATGTAATAGAACGTACTGGATAAAAATTGGAAAGACATAAGTTTTTGAGGAATAACATGAAAATATTAATAATATCTACACCATATCGTAAACTAAAAACGAGGTAGCAACGCTATCACTACTACAAATTGTAATGCAAAAATGTTGTGGAATGCTAGTAGTAAAAGCTATTTCAAGGAACGTGCTTTTAATGATAGGAGCTAAATTGTGTTGCTAAAAATGTTATGGAAACATGTATGCACTTTTTCGTTCATTAAAAACTCAGTCATTCATGATTTATAAGGAGCTTCAATTGAAAAAGAAACCACATATACTAGTGTTTCATTAAAAACACAAGATGAAAGCTATTAAAAGAATAAAAACCTAGCTAATCAAAGTACCAAAAGCATGTTAGCAAAATAACTGATCATTTTTTTCCCTGTGCAATTTAATAATTGATAAATTGGGGGCACATAATCAGATTATAGTGGTGTTGAATACAAAATGTTCTAAAACTCTTGTATGTAGACAGCATATTTTAATTGCACTGAAACTCGGCATAGCAATTGTCTATGATGTTGGCCTGCAGGTAGTTGTAACAAGCTTACACTGAGGCGAAAATTCCTCGTTTCCTTTGTTGCGAACTTTCATGGACGCATCTCTTTCCCACGCTGAAGTCATAACCCGCGCCTGTCGATTTTTGTTGGGGATTGCAACCGCCTAGGCTGTCTAATGTTGGGGAGACCCATCTCTGGCCATTGCTCAGAATGAGTTAACAAGAGAAGATATTGTTCCAATTCATTTCCAAATTGCTAAGATCGTAGGCCTCTTGTGCATACACGGCTAAGAACACAACAAGCGCTATTATAACACTTGAGTAGGGGTTTTCCATCTTCTCTTCACTTCTTCTTTAGTACCTTAACTTGCTCTCAACCTTTTTTGCTCCGTGATTTTTGTGATTACAAACCATTTTCAGATTCTTTTGGGAACTAGAATTACGGCTTGTTCGTTTACATTTTTTGAGTTAAGAGTGATTTGAGTTCAAATCTTGATTTCAGTTAAGATGCATTTGAATATGATTTGATTTGGGACTCTAATTTGAGTTTGTGTTTGGATGGACACATTTTGAGCAATGGTTTGAATTGAGAATCTATTTGAGTTTGTGTTTGGGTGGGTCAAAACTTGAATTTGTATTTGGATATTATTTTAATAAAAACTCAATGGTGATGGAAAATTTTAATATGGTATATGGGTGGGGTTTTATTCATCTCTTCGTTGTGAACGCATAGAAAAAAAATCAGCTCAATTGAAATTAAAACGAATAAGTTATGGCGTTAATAGAAAAAATATTGTTCATTAACTTGAGTTTGAGTTTAGAAACTTGAGTTGAAGGGGAGAACTTAAACTCATATTTTAGCCCCAAACTCAAGTTAAAACTCAAGTTCAAACTCAAATTTTACAAAAAAAAACATGAACTTGAATAAAGTTATAACTTGAGTTCAAACTTTTTTTTGAGTTAAACTCCAAACGAACAACTCAATGCAAATACCTTGATTCTAATATTAGACTTGTATATTTTGGTTCAACTATTTGCATAAATTTCCAATCAATTTGATTTATGCAAATTCAAAACAGAGTTACTTAAGGTGTGAAAGTGAATGGAAATTCATATTACTTAGTTATATGGAGTGGTAGAGAAAGGAAATTCTTTTAGATGTGGCACTGTTGAAATTTGCTTTTTTTAAAGTTTTTTTTTCCTGTGTAATAAACATATCTAGAACTCATAATTAACATAATTGCATGTGTAGATCAATGTTTAGAGGCATCTTTCTACATGTTCAGTTCTGGCGTTCGAGTGTCTATTGTCCAAGCTTTCCAATTCTTATTTTTTGCAAGTGTGTCGGATTTTGTTTTGTTTTAACTGAAAATACTATTCTCAAAACCACAAATACGCCACCCACGTGCGGTTTATTTTTGTTCTTGAACTGAATGTGTTCGTTTAAGGTTGGTCAATTGGATTTCGGTGCATTAATCTCTTAGTTTGATTGATTTCGGTTATCTTTAATTTGTACAACCCACTTTCATTAAAATAAATGGAAAGAATTAAACAAAATAAACCGATCTTTAAATGAATATGTATGTTTTTTTTTTCTTTCTATTAAAAAAAAAGACTAAGAAGAGAACACCTTTATTTCCATATACCATATATATATATATATATATATATATATATATATATAAGTAGTTCTAACCCTTCTCTTTTTATCAACACCTCGGCTCTAAATGCTTCTACAGCAGGATGTTTAATGGTGTTAGTTATATATGCCAATCATTTTAACATATGTGCCCTGATTTGTGATCACAATTAAGAGAAAATGTTTCCAATATACGTGGTATCCATATATTATACAAAATGTTTCCTCCTGGCCGACGATATGGAAGATATGCCTCACAAAAACTCTTATTATTGAAATCCTACGGAATTATTATTGTAAATTTTCTAGAAAGAAACTTTCCTCTTTTATTCGGGAATAGTAAAAAATAATACAGAATAAATAGGCTAAGGAAGAAACCTTATCTTCCTAAAAGAAATTATCCTAATTAAAGATAAACTCTAACCTTAAAAACCTTATCTCTAATGATAAACCCTTTATCCTCTGTTTTATTTAAATTTAAATACAAAACTTACATATTTTCTTAGAAGAAAAAAAAACTAATAATTCAATTCAATCATTACTTTTGTATGTATGTATGTATGACGTATGTTGATGGTGTTTTTACTGTGTATCAAATTTATAAACTTCGCTAAGATATGATCGTGGTTGAGTATGGGTCGTTCATGCAGAATTTTATTTATTTTACAAAACAAAAATGTAAATAAGGGGTCTGAAATATTAAACTTAACTAAATAAAATAAAACAAAACAAAACTTGAAATAAATATAGAAGAAATAATCAATGAAAGAAAACTGGTTAAAGGATCAATCTACACCACTAGACAATGGAATCATAATGAACAAATAATATTATTCCCAATTCCCTATCAAAACTATCAACTGTGGATAACAACAAGTTCTGTTAGCCCAATCTTTCCTTAGTTTATTGTTAAGCAAAACAAGTTCTTCGCTTAATCTATTTCCCTCAAACAACCTAGAAGAAGCTCTCTAGATTCAATCCAAAGGAAGCATTATGATAAGAAAGATAGGTTGATCTAGATAACAATCACACAAGCTCGGATTATTCAACCTAGGTTATATTCCACATGCAATCATATAAAAGCCTCCCGCAATTATTGACCATAATTCGCTACTAATGATTAGAACTTCAAGACAATTAGGGATCAAGACTCCTAATCTAGCAACAGAATATTCTCAAGTCATACTTAGCTAGCTACCCAAACAAAACAAGAAAATAATCATAAGCAATATTTATGGAAGAACATAAGCAAACTCAATAGAAAATTAGAAAATAACATCTAAATATTCAACCACAAAGCCATGTTTTGGGCTTTGAAATCACCCTCAACCAAAATAAAACCTAATCTAACATAATTGAAAAACAAAATAAAAACTAAAGAAAAGGAAGAGAATGAAAGAAAAAATTAGGATAATTCTTCAAGAATCTCTACGCAGGCGATCCTCTTCAGAGTCACAGCTTGATCTCCTCTTTTTCATCTCTTATGATGGCTGAAAATATGAGGAAAAAGCTTATTGAAATGATCTAGGAATGATACATTTATAGGCCTCCAAGTGGGGGCTCAATTGGGTAATTTTCGGGCCCTAAAAACTCCTTTCTTGATTGCCAAGTCGCACACCAACGCCGCAATTCTATTGGTAGCGCCACGGCACTCAACGGAGTTTTTTCCAAAATTCATGACAGCACCTAGTGCCGCAACATCAAGAACCAGCGTCACGGCGTTGCCCCTTTATACACATGGGCGCCATGGCGCCAACCTCTCTGGTATGTGCACGTTAGAGTGCCGCGGTGCTCGTTTTCTTGAGCTCTGGCGCTCGGTACTTCTACAACTTGTCTTTTTTAAGCTCTAAAGCTTCCTTTAGCTTTAAAAACATCTTAAAATATAAAAACACAATTAAAACACAAAATACTCAAAAAAAATAAGCAAAGAAATGTGAGGGAATTAACCGGAACATATGTGAAATTAAGCACTTATCATATGTATGAATGAAGAATCTCATATATAAAAAAAAAACAGAAAAGATTAGATATAAGCTAAGAGTTTAAGTTGATGTCTACAGTGTCAAAAACAAGGGGAAAAGAAAGGAATAGCGAGCCTTTATAATACGAGTGCACAAAAATACAAAACAAAAAATAAAAGGAGCTAAACGCAAATAAAATTAGAATTGAAAAACATAGCATCGAAATGGTGAGTTTTGAAGACACAAATTTAAATTTAACCTTTTTATTACAATATTTTTTTCACATAAATTTACTTTTTAACTCACTTAAATGAGCAAAACAAACGATGCCAGAATGTTTTATGCAGCAAATATTATATCATCATAATTCTTTGTTGAAATGTGGTCTTTTGACTTTTAATGTATATTCTTTTCAAATTTGTAAGTACAATTTTCTTTTCATTCTTTTAGTTACAACTCAAGTCAATATGTGTATCACACGTGCCTCAACCAGTTTTACTTAAAAGGCAGGAACACGTTACTCGAAGTCTAAATTGCTAGACTTGCATGGCATTTATTCTTTTATTATCTTTAGATATTTGATTCCTCCGAGCTCCTTCGATTAGCAGATGGTATACTTGTTAATAATTGAAGACCCAATTGTTTAACACTAGGCACTAAGAGAAATAGAAATAGCAAAATAAAATAAATAAATATAAAAAAGAAGAAACAATAAAGTACAGAAGATTATTTATAATTGTTTACCCTAAATACATAAGTCACGTCCATTATTTTCAGCCGTATCGAAATTGTAATTCATCGGCAAAAAGCAACCAATACCAAATTTGACATATAGTATGCAAAACAATGGTTATGCATTTATGTATGTAATGCCAAATTTTAATATTAATATTTAACTTTTGACAACAAATATAGCATAGATCAAATTCAACATTAACTATAGCATTGTATTAGAGAGCAAAGATCAAGTGTTGACATTGGTATAGAAATTCAACATTGCACAAGAAGTAATATTGCTCAAAATCTAACGAACAATATGGAAGATAAATCTAACGAATCATTGAATTGAATAAGTGAACTACATAAATAATACATATCCAATTACTTGCCAACAATATGGCCAACTATTACTGTAATATCATCCTTTTTTCCTCCGAGCTTTTGGCGGCCCAAAAATTTACACATGGTACTCGAAAAAGGAGTTTCACAATCCTCATTCAAAGACTTAAAATAAGCCATTCTTGCTATTTCCTCCGCCAACTTTTCTGGTTTCACTTCCTCCGTCTTCTCTATAATAATCTCCATCTCCCGAATAAACAAATTATCCAACAATCCATCAGTTCCAAGCACCACAATGTCTCCAACCATCACAGGAACTTTCGGTTCCGAAGCGCAATGGGGACGGTCGCTTGACCAATGGTTCCCTAACTGGTACGGACGGTTGAATCCGCGTTGCTGCGTTGGCGACCTGTACAAGAACTGCTTGTCCCGGAACACTATGAACCCGCTGTCTCCGACGTTAGCTGCGTGCAAAACGCGGCCGTTGAGGGCGACGATGCAAGCGGTCGAGGAGCCTTTTATCTTCCTTGCACCGACAAAAGCCTGGTAAAGAACTTTTTTTGGATCAATAGCTGATGATGATGATGAGGCCTTAATTTTGCGAACAGTGTCGGCGGAGTTGATCATGAGTTTTAGGGCGTACTCGCCTGCGTCAATGCCTTGTCTGACCCAGCCGCCGACCCCGTCTGCCGTGCCGATCACCTGCTCGTCGGCGCAGATGAAGTGGGCGTCCTCACCTTGAGGCTTCAGTTTCTGGTCTTTTGGTATGTAGTACGCTGCTGAAACCATCTTCAAAGGCCTCTCACTTTTCTTGAGAAGTGATTTGAAACATTGCTTTTGAGATTTTCCATCTTCAAGTTCGGCAGCTTCAGCTAATTGAAGTTTCATCATTTGAGTTTCAAGTACTGATTGAAGATCAGTCATCGTTTCTTTAATTTTAGTTTAGATTCCTGAGGAAGAATTTTGCCCTAGTTAGTTATATAGAGAAATTGACGTGAACTTGTAGTAGGATTTGGATTTTGAGTTACGTAAATGGGAAACAGCAGATTAAAATATAAAATAATTAGAGAAAATTAATGCTTTAGTCTAGAAGGAAAATTTGATTTGCACCGAAAAGAAAATAACAAAAACAAGTATATACTCTTATATGTTAAACATATTATACTTTCAACTCTTACGTACATTTATTAATAGTTTAAATTTTCTAGAAATAAATAAACCAAACTTAATATTAATGCTACGATGATGGCCATACAGCTTTATAGTAAATTAGTAATATTTAAGATTCTGCGTAAAAATCGACTAAAAAAGGTAATTTCCTTTATACTCACAAATTATCAGTCTGATAATTACTTCTCTCTACTTCAGCGGTAGTTTATCTCCAGGGATAGTAATTTCTCTTCTTTTCGAATATACTACTGATGTATTTATACGCAAAATATGTTCGAGTCCTATTTCATTTGTACTTCCTTTCAATAATTACTTACGGGATAATTAATATTAGTTTTTTTGTTTTCCATCTATATCCAGTTAGCATTCTCCAAAGAAAAAAGGATCCAATTATCTAGATTCTTCCTATATAATATACGAGCAAAATTTCTAGAACAAAGTTTTTGACAATTTATAAAATACAGAAAATTTATGCTTTTATTATTCACAATAGTTTTGGAAAAAAGAAAAGACTAAATACCTAACCACTTCTGATGACAATAACTTTTAAATAACATCTAGCAAACAATAAATATATTAAATAGCACTGTAATGCAAAACTAATACTTAATTTTGTGCCCTCCTATTTTTCACTAATAGAAGATGGGTTCCACGTATCCAAATATGCATATATAACATTCATATTGAATTTTGGTTCAAATTAATTTTAAAAAAATAACGTTGAAAAAGAAATGTAAGAGCAAAATCAAGAAATTAGTTAATGTAACATGTTCATAAATGATTCTTCCATTTCATCTAATTAGTAAAAAAAAACAAGGACACATTTGACAAAGTATTAAGTTAAATTTCTTTTTTCTTTTAGGGGAAAATGTCATTTTATTAATCACACATATCTTATTGAGTACAATACCACTAATAAAAGATGGAACCAAATCATACCAAAACTTATTAACAGGACTAGTAAAATCACTAGAACGGCGTTGATTGCATCACACTCAATTACTACCCAATCCGAGAAGCCAAAATTCACAAGGCTAACTTCACACCTTGTCCTATGGTTAGGCATTCTATGATGTGAGGAGTGAAGCGACCGGGAGTCTGTATTGGGATGTTTGATATGAGGATTTCGTGCTATAGTTTGAATAGTGTTTTCTCTCACAAAAAACATACGTAAATTGAGAATGGTTCTGAATTTATGAACCAAACGTCCACTAAAGTTCCTTCTGGAGCTCGCCAAGTAGATCTAGGAACTGATGGAGTAGAATTGCAGGCTCCATCCAGCTTTTGGCAAGACTTTTAATCCCCAAAAACCCGGCCATCACGTTCTATGACTTCCCATGAAGAGGAGAATTTGCCCTTTAAAAGCAGACATGATCACTAGCGTACCAAATACTCCAGCAAATTAAGCATGCAAAACAATTCAAAATATTATTTGTTATCCACTTGAGACATGAATAGACACAGGGCATCAAAAAGGCCATCTGGGAAATTCCTAACTACTTCCCACAACGACCTAATTAACACTCCACACTTCACGAGCAGCCACACAATTAAGCCAAAGAGAATTAGTATAACCCCTTTCTCTTGCGTCATTATCTAATAGAAAACAGGGCTTCGTTTAGTAGGAGACTTCAAATCAAAGTGATTGTAGTTTTAATTTTAGAATCAGAACCATAATTCATGATTTTTTGTCCAAATCATAATTCTGAAACTAGAACTAGAATCAGGGGTTTGAACCACCCAAAATCAAGGGAGTGGTTTTAAAATCAGGATTGATTCCTGATTTAAAACGTTATATCAGGATTCAAATCTTGAATCAGAACCATCCAAACTAAACACTGATTCTTGGTGAGTCAAATCAGAACCACTTTTTACTTTTTTGTAAACAAATACTAATTTAAACTAGAATCGTGATTCCGGGTTCTATAACTCTTATACCAAACGTGCTCTTATTTTCTTTTTCTCCACTTTCCTTCGACTGCTTCCTCGCATCTTGAACACAAGATAGGACAAGAAATATCTCAAGATTTTCACAGCCAAAGCACCATGAAAAGCACGCCACATGTGAATTTTGACCTTCCTAGGAATGTTGCAAGCCCATAGCTTGCGCCGCCACGCCACTGCAATGCTCGGACCCGAGATCTTCCCACAACTAGAGCGTCACATTTCCACCTTGTAACCCGAACGGACTGAGTATAAACTTTTATTATCAAAATGCCACATTAAAACATCATTGCCATCCCGATTCTGAGAGGCAAACTGAGGATTAATTCTCTATCAATCTCCCGTAAATAATTATTAAGAGCCACCTGTGACCACTTTCCATCAACAATGAGATTCGCAACTGTCAAGTTCATAATCTCAACTGTTGGTGTAGTGATATTCTTGAAAAAGTAAGGCCTAGATAACCATAGATGCTTATTGAAACAGTTGTATGGTGTACTCTACTTTAATATATAACATTGGTAATTCCCTTTAAAAACAGTTTTATGATACTTACCCTTTGTTTTTACAAATAAAATGTTTAAAAAAAAAATCACCTCTTAATATGCACATGGTTTAGCACAGTAAGCTCTTCAAAATGAAGAAGTAATCTGGATTCAAGACATTCCTCCTCCTATTGTATATGTAGTTTCTTCATATTTCTCTTCTTAATAACGGACATCTAGTCTTCCTGAACTTGGTATAATAGTTTGTATGTTGGTTTGGATGAATTATGAAATTTTCTTGTTCGTTTTGCTCATTCGAGTTAAAAATTGAGTTAAAAGGTGAATTTACGTGAGAAAAAACATTATAGTAAAAAAAAATTGAATTTAAATTTTTGTGAGAGAAAATACTGTAGTAAAAACTTGAATTATGATTCAAACTAACGAAAGGAAGGACACCTATTAATCACTTTGGATATCAATTTTCTTTAAAGTTTTTCATTTTCTATGTTTTTCGTATAAAGAGATAGGTTTGTATGACAACCTTCCTTCACTATCCTCAGTTAAACATAGCCAGTGGATTATACAATTCCAACGTCTTTGTTAAGGTGTCAGCCTTTTTTCAATTGATTGAAATTTTTTAATTTTGCAAATTAGTCATTCTTTCTTACCTTTTAATATTGATTATTACTTATGTTTCTAGTCCTTTATTTCTAATTCTCTAATTTTTCAGGTACGGATTGCTGTCTTTAACAACTTTTTGACTTTGATCTCAATTACGTCTTATTTCTTCATTCAGGCCGTTTGATAAATTATGTGTTGTTTTTCAACATCACATGATTTATTCTTACTTATTCCTTAGATAGAAAATAATATTAATAAATGTATCTAGTTTTAGATACTTTCTGTCTTCTCAAAAAAAAAAAAAAAAAATCTCCCACCACCAAAATATTCATGTGTGTAATTTTTACAAGAATCTTATGTATTAAAATGGTTGCATTCCTATAAAAATCTTGAGAAAATTGATGACCTCATCCTTTGAATGCATTGTTTTAAGATTTTTATTCTTTACTCTTGATTAATACCCTTTTTAATTTTTAACTAAAGGGTCTTAATCAAGTATAAAGGGTAAAAATCCAACACTCATGCATTTTAAAGGGTATTTGTCACTTTTCCATTAATATTTTCTATTTTCATTTGCAAAGGGGAAAGGAGATAAATACCCAATGCATGAGTCTGAAATTTTACCCCTCACTCTAGATTAATATCTTTTTTAGTTAAATAACTATATTATTCAAAAGGGTATTAATCAAGAGTAAAGGGTAAAAATTTAGAGCCATGTACTTTAAGGTAAATTCAACAATTTTCTCATTTACACCTCAAAAGTGCATGAATCATGATTTTTATCTTTTACTCTTTATTCATAATTTTTTTAGTTAAATAATTACACTAAAAAAAGGTATTTATCAAAAATAAAGAATAAAGCCAAATTCTCCATTTTTTCCTTCAAAATCCTTCCAAGAATAATAAAGCCCAATAAAACCCAAAACTGGAATCTTACATGATAATATAGGCAGAAATGGAAAAGGACAACATAAACAAAAAAAGAAAAAAAAAGACCTAACAATATGTCATAAATGAAAATATTTTTCCTTTTTATTATGTTTCAAGTTGTTTGTCCATTTCTTTTTCCTGGTTTAGTGTTCTAGGAGGTTGCCACTGGTAACTTGGCAGAATACAATAAGTGAAAGCCCGACGAGTTGTTGGAATTTATTAGACAAGCATAATTTGGTATCTTTTCTTTTAAAATGGTTGGAATGCTATTAAATTTTGAGAGAAAAAGAGAAATAGACCAAGACTTGAGATGAATTAAAATTAATAGGCTAATAGTTTACCTAAGTTAATTAATAGGCCAAATTACTGTTTACGTCCATAACTTGTCTAGTTATGAACCATAACTTGACAAGTTATTGTCCATAATTCACGGTTTTTGTCCATAATTTGTCTAGCTATGAACCATAACTTGACTAGTTTGTCCATAATTTATCTGGTTATGAACCATAACTTGACAAGTTATGACCTATTAATTTCTATAACTAAAAGTTGGCCTATATACTTTCTTAAGCTATTCATATTGGCCTATTTTCTACTATTTCCGTTAAATTTTTTGAGGTTAATTAAGACCCAATCTAAGAGCATATGTTTAGTAAAATGGTTCAGAGTCTGATTTAAATAGTCAGCTACAACATTTTTTTTTATAAAAATTTAAATTTTAATTCAAATAATCTAATTTGACCCTATGAACTAAACATGCACTGAGTAGTTAAA